GATTTAATTGTGGCTAGGGGCCTCTGGCTATCTCGTGGATAGTAGGACAATTAAAGCAGGATTTTGAAAAATTCTGTTTCCCCAATACACCAGACATTTTAAATCCTGATTTAATTGCCCCAGGAAGGTAGGTTGATCAAGGTACCTAAGGAGAACTTTAAAATAATGATTTAGAAGTCAATAACTTCTGCATCCATTGCTTTTCTTCTCCTCACACGAAGAGCCGCTGGTCACTGGTTACCCGGTTGTCGCATGGACTGGCTCTCTTCCGAGACGCAAGAGCCTGCAGCACCGGTTGCAGATCCGCACTGTACAGCAGCCGCCGGAACGCCAACACATTGATATCATTTTGGTGGGGAGGCATACAGTCAAGGGTTTTCACGTGCCTCAACTGCTTCTTAATGTTTCCAATGTGGTTTGCGTACTGATTGCTACCTCCTAACACGCACACTTTCCTCGCCTTCAAAAAGGAGTGCTGCAGGCTTGCCAGCCGAATGCTCTTCAGGATGAACTTTGTTATGGTTTGGGTATGGATGCTCTCCTAGCCGACAAGTCTCGGGGATGGACATCGCCGTGATTTAGGCACAGATGCTCTGGTAACCGTACGCTAACCGAGATTATCATGGTCTGGGCATGGATGCTCTGGTAGCCGGCTGCTCTCGGGGATGGAACTTATCACGATTCAGGCACGGATGCTCTGGTGACCGTATGCTCTGGGGATGAAGGTTGTCATGGTCTGGGCATAAAAGCTCTGGTGGCCGGTTGCTCTCGCAGATGGGCATCGCTCTGCAGATGCAAACAAGGATGTCACAGGCAGGTCTCTCAATAGTATGTAACATATGGAGACGGTGACACTTTCAAAAACGGTCCCGAAATGGGCGCATGCACGTTAAAGTATCATGGTTGGGCATGGACACAGATGCTCTGGTGAGCATATGCTGCCCGGTTTTGGCATGGATGCTATGGTAGGCGGCTGCTCTCGGGGGTGGACGTTATCCTGAGTTGGGCATGGTCGCTCTGGTGATTACATTTTGACCTCATTCCCGTTTGCGCCTGGATGCCTGGTCATTGAAGGCACTCATGTTTTGGGCATGGAATCTCGCTGCCGGAGTCGCCTCCTGCACAGCAGGAAACTCCACGCCCGCCACGTCTTGCAGCAGTTATTGACCGCGCAGTCAAGTTCTACTGGAGAGTACAACCAGAAGGGATAATTTATAACCCACTTTTTAGGCTGCCCAAAAAACCCTGATAGGATCCACGAACCTGACTGCAGACACGTGACATACAGTTCCATCCTCTCCTCTCCTCTATTCTCTCCTCCATCCTCTCCTCCACCCTATCCTCGATCCTATCCTCTATACTCTCCTCTCTGTCTTAAAGCATCTCCTCCATCTCTCCTCCAGCCCTCCTCCCCCTCTCGTCCATCCTCTCCTCTATCCTCTTCCCTATACCCACCTCCATCCTCTCCTCCGTCCTCTCCTCCCCCCATCCTCCATCCTCTCCTCCATCCCCTTCTCCATCCACTCCTCCATCCTCTCCTCTCTGCTCTCTCCTCTCTCCTCCCCTCTCCCCTCTCTCCTGTCCCCTCTCCCCTCTCGCCTCTCTCCTCTCTCCTCTCCCCTCCATCCCCTCGCCTTTCGCCTCTCCACTCTCTCATCTGTCCTCTGTCCTCTCTCCCCTCTCCTCTCTCCATTTGTCTCCTCTCTTCTCCTCTCGTCTCCCTCCTCTCCTCAAGTCCAAACATGACGCCGGTCCAGTCCTGCGCTGCGCGACCAGGCCAATCCTCGTGACTGTTGACACTTTTGAAGCGCAAAGACCAAACGCAAGTCCAAAAGTGAAGACAGTCCTGCGTTTCGCGACTACGAGTACGAGGTATGCGCGACACCCGCGAACGCTTGCGCGACTTTTGGTCACCTCTTGGACCCCTGGACCCCAGCCTAAAAAATGGAACCCTTCTGGGGAGCATTCGGGAATATCACGACCGACTTAATTTTCTGTGCTACGCAACAAAGATGAACATGCTTACAAAAGATCCTGCGAATTGCCAGTTGCAAGTTATCCCCTATCATCCCGGTTTCTTAGGCGTCTGCCTTTGTGCTTTAGTTTGCTTGGCAAACAAACTGTCAAGACTCCTCATCAGGCGGTCGGAGGTGAGAAGTTGTCCTTGTCATGCCTGAAATTCTCAAGGAGGTCATACTAAACGAGACGTGTTGCGAGATGATCTGACACGATTCATTGCCGAAAGAATGCTTCGCACAGGAACTGCTATTCAGGTGGGATCCAACTAACGACAACAGGTGCTCGAGCGGGTGCCTCTATTCACAGGGCCCCGTGCTTCCGGCACCGTACACACCACCGCAGTCGCTCAATCAGGATCATGACTTGCATGTGCGCGCCATGCGTTCTGTGCCTCGAGTGAGCGCCGTCGATCTTTTTGGGGGTTTCTCTTCCAAGCATGAGACTATTGCAGCTCCCACACACAGAGGCAGCAACACCTCCAGCATCCAGAGCTAACTCTTGAAAACTACATGCGGTTACCGGCTTGGCGGGAGGAAGGTAACTCAAATCCAAGGCCAGCACAAATCAGGGACAGCGCGACAGAAATCAAAGCAGAGACAAAGACCACAAAGATGATGGTGATGAAAATGATGATGACGACGATGAGCGTGATGATGGTGATACTGTTTTTGGAATTGCATGAAGTGGACCTTGTTTGGGCAAATGCCAAATGCCACCGGCAAGACCTCTCCAAACATGGCGGGAACCAAATAAATCCCTGATCTACTGGTTGCATCTGGTTCAAATTCAATCTCTGGAGGCCTTACCAGTTGCAATGTGGATGTTCAGCTTGTAATTGGACACATACAGTTGTTGCTCCACCCCTCGTGTGCCCCTCTGCCACAGCAGACTAGACTCAAGTGACTCAACACTCTAGCTCTGCTGGCTTTTGAGGCAAGCTCTGCCGGCCTTGTCCTTGTACTTTTCTCGGAGGGCAGCGATTAGCTCAGCCTTGCAACTCAGCTTTCTGTGCTACGCAGGAACAAAATAGATGGCTTATGCAGACAGGAGGCACAATGGTCAACCTCGCAAACAACACTAACAAGAAGCAAGAGAAAAGTGTCTTGCACCGATGGTGAAATTGAGAAGAAGACAGAGGTAATCTTGGAAGCCAAGCCTTCACGCAAGCGTTTGGACATCATCTACATTCGGAAATCTTGGCTGAACACGACAGCACACGACCGCAGAACATACAAGTCAAAATTGGCAAGGCCAAGGTTTGCAAATGCAGGCACACAAACACAGTGAGGACAGCCCTTGATTCAGCTGCGTTGACCGCTGTACAGATCGGTACGCCTTAGCCGTGGTGTCCACAGTGCTACTCATCACCGTCTAAGTCAACACAGGTGGGCGCTGTGTTGGAGACGAGCGCAATCCTAAAGGCCCGGCCGCGAAGCTCTTTTCCGGAGTGGGAGGACTCCTCTGTTGTAGCTGTCTGTCTCTGGTGGGCCTGGCTGGTGTCCAACCAATTCAACTCCGCGACGTGCGAGTATCTGTTAGAGGCTTGCGAATCCTGCATGACTTCATCCTTCACCTCATCTTTGACTTCATCCTTGACTTCGTCCTTGACCTCATCCTTGACTTCATCCTTGACTTCATCCTTCGCTTCATCCTTGACCTCACGCGGCGTTTCGTCGCGGTGCGCACGGGCTTCCCCAGCATTAAAGATCGCTTGCTCGCTTTCTTGCTCCTGCTTGACTGTCACCTGGCAGGACCGCAAACTGGAGGTCAGATTGATGAAGTGCTCCCGCAACCATTCAGCTGCAGCGCTGGCATCCGCTTTCTCGACCATGAAGGGCTGCAGCCACTGAGGCAGAAGGCTAGCTTTCCTGTGGACAAAGGAAACAGGCACAAGAATGTCACTAGAATGCTAAGTAATGCTCGGAATTCACGTCACGCTGAAGCAGCAGCATTAAATTCGCCTCGGCCTCAGGCTGACAGGCGTCTGGAACAAGCTGACCCCCCCCCAACCCCTTGGGCCCCTCAAAAGTCCTACCCGATGACAGTCATTTTCTGGACCAAGCCTTGCCAGACTCTTCTTACCTTGTAAGCGCTTTGCAAATCTTTGCTTCCTCTTGTCAACCAGGCTGCCGAGGCGGATGCGTGCTAGCGCTTACAATTAAGCCTTAACAAGTTCTTGTCCTCAACCCTAGACTAGGACAATTTACACACAGGCATTACTGTGAAATGCTTGCATTTCAAACTTCTGGTCCCAGTGGCCGGCCAAACGCCGTACACTTTACAAACACAAGACTTTATAAAGATATGCTCAGTCAACCTTCCGTGTGAGATGGAGTGGCGCAGCACCATCATTTCTTCTTGGAGTGCTGCCGCCTCTAGCGCCCGCTTCGAACTTACTGCTTCGTGGCTTCCATACGTCCGAACCCCCATATGCTGGACAAACTCTGCCAAGGTTCCCCAACTCCGCCCAGCGGCTGTCCAACAAAACAAGAGCACCAAAATCATTCGGATGACGAATGCAGCGCCCCAGAGCCTGTGCAACTGCATGCAATGCCTTCGACTCGTACCAGGCATCACCAGATACTGCACCAAGCGAACGAGATGTCCAAAAATCATTGCAGGCACGCTTTTGAGCAATTCTTTCTTCCGTGAGATTTGGGAATGGGATTCCGATGCACACAACCCCCCGTGCAAAGTCGTCATCGAAAGAAACTCCTTCGCTCATTCTTCCCCGGTACACCGCCAGCAGGAGGGCCTGTCCAGCCTGCGAAACTGCGATTTCGTACCTCTGCTTGGCAGCTTCATAAACTCTGGCTGCAGAGGCTGTTGATTGCTGGCACATAGGTGCAGGTTCCACCACAATAGTGCCTTTTACATGCTTCAGCTGATCCAGGATGCTCGGGCCACTTTTGGAAATCTCTTCTGGCAATCGCTCCACAGCACCGCGGGATCGACGCTTGGCCTTGGCCTTTCCAGAAGCTCTTCTCTGGTTTGGTAAAATCCTTGCTGACGAGTTGCACGGGCTTTCGTCCCAGGTCGCCATGCACCGCTCCAGAAGGTCGTACGAAGGCAGGAACACCAGAATTCCCGCAGGGATTGCTCGGCAAAGTGTGACCAACGCTGTACCTATCGAATGCAGAAACGATGGTCGCTTCCAGGCATGGAAAGTGCATTCCAGCTTCGAATCAGCAGCAGGCAGGGCTTGCGCTACACTCACGACGGTCAAGGCGCTTCTGCCCACGACATGGTTTGCCGCCAGAGCGGGAAGGGCTCTTGACTGGAAAGTGGGGCCAAGCTCGGAAATCGTTGCAGGCAGAGGTGACAGTGTCCCTGACATGAGCAGCATGCTATGAAGTTCTGACACGAGACTTGCAAAGGTCCCTTCTGCACTCATCAGCCAAGTTTGCAAGGCTGGTCGTTGACCTTGACCCTCTGGTCGAGCATGGATCACGTATAAGTCTGGACTTCGCGCTGCTGCTGCAAGCTGACCAAGTAAGGAGGCCGCAAGCTCAAGCTGCGCGCCGAGCTGCGCGCCGCTTGCGCCGCTTCCACGAGCTATTTCTCGAAGCAAGGCTTCCCCACGCGGCTCACGCGCTGCGGAAGGACTTCGGCACGCAGGGTCAGGGCGCAGCAGTGGTTCAGAGTCGAGCTTGAGCGCCCGCAGGAAGGCTGAGACTTGACGATGCTCTGGCAAGTGAGGAGCATACGTTATGGCTTGATTTAATTCGCCCAGAAAACCACAAATGCGACCAAGCAGTGAGCAAAGAGGTCGCAAGGTGCTCGTCATACTTGCAGTTTTGCGCCTGCGTTCAACAGCCAATGCCCCGTCATCAGAGCGTGCCATGTCAAAGGCTGCTGAAACAGTGGCAGGAACCATGAAGCCACCCAGTTCCTCTGATGATGTCGCTGCAGCCAGGGGTACAGAAAGCCGTTGTGCTGCCGCACTGGCCGGTGGCTTCTCACCATCTTCGCCCAGCCAGCGCTTGATCACTGCTAGAGCATTCCTTGCCTGGTCGAGAGAAATCTCTGCCGACCCCGCATCACGACAAACACCTTCAACGTTATGAGCTTCATCCAGTACTACAATCCGTCCACTGAGATCTGCACAACTGAGCCCTGCAGCTTGGCGCACGGATGGGTCCAGAACATAGCTATATGGGCAAAATACCAGCTCAGCATGTCTGGCAATGGAGTGTGCGACATAATAGGGGCAGGAGTTAGTAGAGCTTCCAAACTGAGCCATGTCCTCAATATCCCATGGCTCAGAACCGCGAAGGCGAGCATTTGCCAGGTCTGGCAGGTTTGAGAATGCGAGACCTTCATGGAAGCTGCAAGTTTTCTGTTGCCGTGCTTGACGACACGCCTGTCGAAGCTGTCCATCGTCTTCCGAAGATCTCAGCACTTCATCCTTGATGCACAGTCCAGCGCCTCTCGAGCCAAGAACAGCCGTGATTGGTCTGTATGGAGTTCGCCTCAATTCACGTATCGCCTGCCGCACCTGGGCATGCGTTCGCGTAGCATACATCAATTGCGGTGCAGATCCAGTCTTGCTCATTCGATGGCGCTGCCAGGCGAGGCAGGCGCAAAGCACAGCTGCCGTTTTGCCGGTGCCAGTTGGGCTTTCCAGCACTGCGTGCTTGCCCAAGACCAGTGCCTCCAACACATTCTGAATGACTGCTCGTTGGGGTTCCAGCGGCTGCTCAAATGGAAAGAGGACCTCAATGCCTCCGAAATTAAGCTTGTACCTTGCATGCTGCTGAATGAGCGGACAGGGCTGGCAGCTGACAAGGCCAGGTCCACTTATGCAACCGGATTGCGTCCTGAGCGCAAGATTTTGCAGGCGCTCTGCAAGTGCGTCGACTGGAGAGACAGCGTCCGAGCTCCTCCCGGAGCAGCGTGTTGCGGAAGCGCCTTGTGGCTGCGATGCCCGAGGTGTCCGCGGCATTGATGTCGTTGTGCCATTTCTGCCCGAGGCCGAGGCTGGCTCCGAGGTGTCAACCGGGATGTCTGATGTTTGATTGTTTGTCTGTGTTCGCGGTGGCTGCGCTGGTGAGGCTTCAGCTAGCCGAGCGCGCTTGGCGCCTCCTGCAGCATCCACCTCACTGAAGGAGGTGGCGGATGCAGCATCCTCCGCCCGAAGAGCAGCTTGCAACAACTCGTCATCGTCATCACTTTCCCACATGGCATGCCTCCGAAGTACCAGGATTCGCAAAGCAACCCTGCAGCTGACAGCTAGTGGTGGTTTTCAATCTGGTTCTTGTGATCTTACGGGATCTCTCCGCTGAAGTTGCATGTACTTGATTGCCCACAGGCTACAACCTGCAGCACTCAACACTTCTGCATGGAAAGCAATGCCAGGTCCCTCGAGTTAAAGCCATGTAAAGCTCAAATAATTGCAAAATGATCAAAGCAACTGGAGACGGTGGCAACTTGCCTTCTGCAAGAATCTGTTCCCCCACCAAGCTCGTGCCTGCGCAAGGACTTCAACTAGCACACGGTGCGTAAAGGAAGGCACTGCCGGGTCCGTCACCACATCCCACAATCAATACCTCCGACCTCACAAAAAGGACAGGTTTGGGTTTGAGCGAAAAACCGTTTCCGCGGTATGTTTCGGTGCCTCACGATGTGTCTAGTCGGGACATCTTTGGCTTACCATCTCATACCATCTCAAACCTTGCGTTCCAACTTGACAGGGCGAGGTTTGACACGATTTGCGGCCCCTCCATCTCCACGTATCATTCGCAGCCATGCAGATTCAGCAAACAGGGGGGCGCGCAGCCGCCACGATTCCTGCCAACCATCACACCAAGCGGAACCAAGATGCGGGCTCCGCTGTTAGCCAGTCCGCAAGAAGCTCCTGGAGACTGGGAACATACTGGAGGCAATGGGATGCACCTTTAAAAAAGTCCTTCAAGTGCTCCCATTTCACATACCTGCAGCAGCAGTGCAAGTTTCCTGGAAATTGCTTTGGATTTTGGGCTTGCTGGCGCATTCCTGACAGATTTTCGTGCCCATACTGGCATTAGCACAGGCAGCATGGACAATGCACCAACACACTCAGACTCCGCTAGACACAAACCAAAGGCCCAGGAACAGTTTGGGGCCGCATGTATTCGAATGCAACAAGCTGCCGCAACGAGGAATGCCAAGTTTACGCATTCATGTCTGCAGCAAATCCAACTGAGAAGGAAACCACTCAAACCTCAGGGAAGGACTTGGGACTGCAGAATCACTCTGTCCACGTTTGTCTATCTTGCCAGGCGGCGGCTCGAAAACTTTCTCTTGATAGCGCTTCGACCAGTACAGGGGATCAGCATGGGAACGCCTCAGGCGGTCTAGAGACGTCTGAGCAGCACAGGATGCTGTCAACATGTCTACTCAGTCAGCATACTCTGAAGCAGCGCCAGGAACCTTATTACATTGAATGCGGTGTTGCCAGTGACCTGCGCTCTAGACAGCAAATGAGAGCGGTTTAGCATTGACCTGACCTCCTCTACAAGGCCAAATCAATTGGCACATTCAAAAGCACCAAATGACTGTTTGGGTTTCACCCAGCTCGTGGTCCTGTAACAAATGTTACCTACGCGCAAGCCGCACTCGCTCGCTGTGTGTTGCTTTGTACAGAGGAGTCCATGGCAGCGGAGTCCACGGGATCACCGAAGCCAGACGGAATGGACCGGACTCAACAGGCGAAAGGCCCGGAGAGAAAAGAGGGGAACAAGGCTGCAAGAGCAAGCTGGGGTGCCTACGGCACCCCTCCAAGTCTCTGTTCAAGTCACGCAAAAGGAAGTAGAAAGGGCAAAGATGCCAAAGCCTTTCAGCATGCACCAGACTTATCTAGGCTGAACCCGCTGGCCTTACTCCTTCCTTTGTGCCGGTGGAATGAAACAGAATTGCATGGCTTAGGCCAGAGCCCTGAAGGCTTCTTCTCGACAAATCGCTCGGCATCAATGCCTGAAGCTGCAGAAACTCAAGTTCAACAAAAGCTTTTCTCACGCACACTGCGTACCGCTTGCAGTATCAAAAATCCAGCCTGACATGCGAGGCTCGGCAAGCTCTTGCTTGGAGTGAAACAGCTACGTTTGACTGGCCACACTGTCAAATCATCGAACATTCCACACTCACACGAAGTTGCAGGGGGGCTTCAGCTTCAGCAAGATCATGCAGCATCTGATTTCAGGGCATACTATGAACAATGCCAGGTTGTGGTAATGGCCTCTTGCTGTAAGCCAGCTCCGACATGCCCAGGTTGCTTGAACCAGCATGCGCAAAAATTGCAACGCCTGGGCCACAGATCCAACGCCTCTGTGGCAGGGGAACCCTGTAAGCATGTGAACTATATAGCCTCACGAGTCGTGAGAGCCAGACGTGGACAGCTCTGAGGAGCATCCCGGACTGCAGGATCTTTTTGGCACCTTCCGCCTACACTCTGCAAGATCAGATTTAATGTATGTCCTGCAGAGCCAGTGAGAAAGCAGCCAGCTTCGCAGGATCTTTTGCGATTTCTACAGGTGTATGAAACTTTGCGTTTAATAGGCGTTCGTTTACGTGCGCTAAGATTGAAGCACGGCTGCAGGCGAGCGTGATGCAAGGCTGATCGTTTAACATGCATCTCACCAGGCTGTCCTTCCAGGCCACGACTGCGCAATTCTTCTCCGTTCCGGTGCAAGATCAGCCCAGGAAGACTGATGCAATATGAGATTCAGTCAAGACCTGCGATGTGTTGCCTTGGCAACACCAAGGTTCGCCAGCAACTTCGCTTATCGTAGGCTTCCTACAAGAGGTAACCAAAGACGGCAGCTTGTATCACAGAAGCTACCTCTAGCAGGATTGGCACTGTACATGCTCTGCACGCAATGCTCGCGATGCTCGCGATGCTCGTACCGCATTGGGAGCCCAGCGCAGACTCCACTGCAATAAGAAGTGAGAGCTGCTGAAACACTTATTACCCGATAGCCTCCCCAAAACTTTTGCGAATCCACAGGTGGCATGTTCTGCTGCTCCTGAGAGTCTACGGCTGCAATGACAGGCCAGCACTCAACCGTGCTCACTTCTTCTTCTCCGGGGGAATTCGAGCATAGTTACAGCCTGAAGTAGGCATACTACATGCAGAAACTGATTGAGTTCGCTTGGTGATTTCACCTCATGTGACTCAGGCTACGACCGCGGTCCATATCAAATTTCACCTCGTCATGGCTTTTGACTGTAAACTAAAGCAGCAAGCACAGCATTGCGCTGCAAAGTTTGGTGAGGGTGCCTCGAGGCCGGGGGGCAGGGCAACTCCATCTGGAACTCGCTGCCACTGTCGTGAAGCCACCTTGACGCGAATTGAACTCCGTTATTTCAATGAGGGGCAATCATGACACTTGGCCAATGTTAGCTCGGCTGAGACAGCCGCAAATTTGACATCGTTGGCTTTCGCTTGTGCTCGAGCTTTGGTCAGCAGCCTTCCCAGGCTTGGGGTGACATGGCCAGTGCTCGTGCCAACATTACCCAGGCTGAGAACAGCACCTGACTAAGTCCTGCAACTCATGCAAGCCCTTCAACTTGTTCATAGCAGACAACTCAGGCTTTAGGAGGAGGTCCTCCTTTTCTGTTGCACCAGCCTCAGGTCCCAAAAGCTAAACGCAAAAACTTCTATTCCACTGCTAGCAGCCACCGAGTCACGAAAGACACTCCAGCATCCTTCAGTAATTCCTGCGCAAGCACTTAGCAAAATGCGATCTCTCTTCCGGGTACTGTCAAGCGTTCATAGGTGGCCTTTAACTCCTTGACACCCATCTTGCCGAGCTCAACTGCTTGGGCCTGACGTGCCAGGCCGTTCCGTGTGCTGACGAGGCAGCAGATATGCCTCCATCTCTGCAGCAATGACAGCAGCGGTAGAAGGCGGAAGTGGCTTGGCATCCTGAAAGTTTCTCATAGCTTGATTCAGAATGGGCTCAAGCTGAAGCGCCTGCAATTTTGAAGTTGCAGCTCACCGTTCAATCACGTGTACAACACATTCGACTTCTGACCTCCACAACTTCGATCACATCACCGTTCGTGTCGTTTGCACCTGTCAGTGCCAAAGCTCACCGCACCTGGTGCCGGTATTCACACGGTGTGAGCTGGGCAACCCCTTACTGCAGGCATCACATCAGGCCTGCACCCTTCGCGCTTGCAGATGAGCTGCTAGACTCGGCGTGCGCGCTGCATAACAAGATGACACTATGCCTCTCCGTCTCAAACCAAAACCTCTGAGACAGAAGCACTGCTGCTACGGCTGCCTGGGCATCACGACACGCATCCTCGCAAAATTCCCAAGACTGATGGCTTGGTCTCGGATTCCAGCTGCTCTTGCTGCCACTGCCACTTCTAACTCGCTTCCTAGGACAGCTCGCAGGTGAGCATGAGCTGACAGACCGGGACAGCACAGCTGTTTCCATGAAGCACCTTTTAATGGACTCGAGGGCTGCGAGCCGCGCTGCCTCCACAAGGATTTCACCATCCAGCGCGAGCACGCCCGTTCAAAATGACATTTAAAAAAGAAAGGCATGCCATGCGCAAGATGGTTGCCTTGGCGCCGCCCCGACCCTTCGGACTACCGCCATCTCGTTCTCGACCTTTGAAAAGGTGCAAACATCCTGTGCGGAGACGGCGTGGCAGGCATACGCATGGCTTGCGCGTAGTTCAGTTGTATTCGAGGGCTGCACGCTTATCGCCATCTTTCCCCCTGTCATTTCCTCTCTCGCCTGCCAAGAGGTCTGAACTGCCCTCCCACAACGGCGCAGAATGAAGTCTCACTTAAGGCCGGGTCGGTTTCCGCGACGGGCAGGTGATTGTCGCCGAGGAGAACGAGACCGCCTTGGCACGGCAGAAAAATCGTTGACTGCTGCTGACAACATTTCACGACTCCACTCATGCCTTTCTAGCAAGCCAACGGAAAAGCAAAAAAAGATCAACAAAACAACAACCCTGGCACAGCTTAAAGCATCGATGGCAAATCTGAAGAGCCGCGGCCGCCACCTTGACCGTGACCTTCGATCTCGCCGGTCTCGCTCACCTCTCTCGCGATCACGGTCACGCACATCACCTTGGTGCCACGCCGAAGCCAGTCTCGCGTGGCCCTGGAGCCAAAAACAAGAGTGAGTGATGAACGATCCCGACGATCTCGATCATGTCTGCGATCATTTCCTCTATCACGATCTCCTGGGCAGCATTGACGCCAGCAGATTCCCTGATTTAGGTCCACATGTTTCAGAATTCGGAAGCCACAACAGACACTAGAGCCCTTGAGAATACCCACGCAAGTCCGTCGTGACCTTGGGTCTGTACCCCTGAGGCCTAGGGCACTCTCGCTGTCTTTGCTTTGCACGGGGAATAGGGCCTTAGGGATGTTGGGCAAGATTACACCCACGACGGGTCTGGATTTCGAGAATTACGCGAGACGCTGCAGGGACAGTGTAAAGGCATACTTGTCCAAACAAGACTTCAAAACGAAAAACAGTTGTGACTGAGCAGGCTTGGAAGGAGGTCAGGTCCCTCAAGCTTGAGCCGTACGTACTGTGGTTCCCTACGCGGCAGGGGAAGCATCTTTTGTGGCTTTTTAAACAACAAACGTCCGCCTACTTCAGAACAACAGTTTCTTCTTCAGGCCTCACGCCCTTTGAGGGCTCCCATTTTCACAGGAATGAAAAACTAGGTGGGAATGGCTTTCACTGCCACATACTGAAAAATCGAATTAGGCTTTGCTAGCCTTCTGGCCCCACTGATATCTACAGATGTTCTAGAACCCTGTGGTCAATTTCTGTCAACGACTCCATTCTTCTTTCTTTTCGCTTTCTTCTACCCTTCTTTCTTCTCCTCCAGGCTCTAGGGAGTCTTAGGACCGCGCTGGGAGAATGCCCCAAGCCCTCGCAACCACCATGTCCATCCGGTCGGCAAGGGGCGCTCTGGGGCTACGCCCCAGGCACGACTTCCCTGGTGGTCGGTTGGAGAAATCGTTTCGAAATGCATGCCCTTATCGATTACAAGGGCTCTTCTGCTTCTTCTTCTTCTACTGGCCATGTGGAATGCTCACGAGGGTCACACCTCCTGGCGGCGCAATGTCCTGCTCAAGCAGTCATGCCCGCGAGGTCCGGAGTACCCACAACTCCCCATCCATCCTATGCCCCACGTGAGAACCCTGTAAACTGAGATTCCGGCTTCGTTTGGACAAGGGATAGCCCTCCTCCCCCCACTGCACATGCTCTTACCTTCCCAACTCTTACACGTTACATCCTGTTACATACAGTCTTCCTCATATCTTCATCCAGCCCCCTTCAGCTGGCATGTAGCGCGGCCCAAACTCCCATCTCCCGCTCTGCTGTGTTCCTGACAACATAACGAGTTTTACTGGAGTCTGTCACTGCTGCCACTCCTTGCACCACAGACGGAAACCTACACTGCTCTACCCCACGAATTGCATAGTCTCCCCTTGAAGCGAAACTATGGTACATCTGCGGCACGCATGCAGTCCTCTCCTTGCTCAATTATGACCTATACGCAAGGTAATGACAAGGGCTTCGGTCCCCTGGTCTGAGTTGAAATGGGCAAAAGCATACTGCCCAAGCCACCCTGCCCTGTAACACAGAGGGCCCTCACACGCAGCCCCCAAAGGGAGCAGCAGGATGACTCGCTAGGTTCTCGTCTTCTATGCGCTACACGCAGTCCAGAAGACAGCCGCAGTCCAGAGGACAGCGCGCGGGCTACGCCCACATCGCAGGGTATCTGTACACGTTGCGAAATGTTCAGCGAAGGACACACGATGCACCTTCCCCGTCTTCTTCTGCTCCCCACCTAGGCGTTACTCCCCAGCTTTGTCCTTCTGATGAATTGGCTCCCACTGCATCTTGACGAAAAATTGCTTTGTGGCCAAAGAAGGCTAGCGAATGAGGTCTTTCCCTTGTCCATTCCCTTGTAAAACAAACCGCACCCGCAGCCCTAAAGTTCCGATGCCAGCATCATTTGCCCTTGCGTTTCACCGCCTCCCCAAATATACTGAGGAGCTTCACCACCGTACAGTAGATCATTTGTGCACGGACTTTACATCTTGCTCCGAAACTTCCCTCGACATCGCGGCTCCTACCAGTGTTTTACCAAATTGCGTGTACACATTTCTCCTTGCACTGTGCCACCTTTGGCTCCTAATTTCCCACTCCCTACACCAGAGAAGCCCCACCAAATCGAACCATGGCATCTAAATCCCCTTACTGGCTCAGGGCTCAGCGGCTTGCATTGTTCGGCACGTTTCTATTTCCAGGGCTCCCCTGCAGGCTTTGCTGCGTGCTCTCCGGGGCGCATGATGAATTCCCTGCTCGTACTTCCTGTCAACTCTGTCATCACTGTACCAGGCTTGTAATGGGCTATCTCGAAACTGTTGTGTTCACTTTGCTCCTTTTCCTCACAGCCACTCACATGTTGCACTCATGTTTCGTGATGTAGGCCTCCACGCTTTTGGCTACAGCCACATCTGTTCCAAACTTGCTGTCGGCCGCCTCCAGGAAGTTTGCGGGCTCAACCTCGTCGAGAAAGTGTCGGCTTGTCTCCCTTCCCTTGCTCCCGCACTATCCAAAGGACCCAACTTTGCATCTGTTCATGTACCATATCCCTAGCAGTTTCCCGCTTCTGTTCTACCAGGCTCGCGGGCTCAGCTGGCTCTGCATGCGCATGCCACGTCCAATCTTCTTTCTTTCCTTGATTTTTTGACTCATGTTCCAGTCTTGCGACCCATTCCAAGTCATCCGAATCCACTTCTCCAGAAGTTTCTGGCGTCACTATCTTTTCTGCCGTTCCGTCCTGCAAGCCTACCATGTCTTCTGTCGGTGTGTGGCAAGGGACCTGCCCTTACTGTTCGGCTCTGGTTCGCTGTCTAATCAGCAGCTCGTCCACTCCTTTTGATTTATCGACCTTTGCTGATTCCGGCGGGGGCACTACTTTCCTTCTTGGATTTGGCTCTCCCCCGTGGCGGCTGTCGCTCTTCCTTTGCTGCCGCGGTCGTCTGCTTCCCGTTCTCCACTTGTTGCGGTTGTGGCTCCTGTCTTTTCTCCTCTTGCAATTTTTGTCTCCCATCCCGCAGTAGCGGGGCGCTTTGCTTCTCTTTCCAAACCTATACTCCCTTCGGTCGAACTTTTCTCTCCCTTTCCTTCTTGGTGGTTTCCTCGTTGCTTCTTGGTCGGCTCCCACTGCAACATTTCTTGGACAATGTCCAGACTGTACACATGTTCCTTCACTTCCTCCCTTTTTCGCGCTTGCGCTGCCTTTTGTTGTCTCCCGCTTGGCTGGTACGCATCGGGGATTTGCGCGTGGAGGATGTTGAGCTTGTCGTTGAACTGGAGGTCAAATTTGTTCTTTGTTTTTCCTCCCTTTCTTTGTCGGTTTCTTCCCTGTATCTGATTTCCTTTCCGACGCTGATCCTTTGTTTGGCTTGTCCACGTCTCGCGTTTCCACGCCTCGGCTTTTGAGGAGATTCATTCTCCCGTGTCGCCCCCGCTGGCGGCCTTCCTCATAGCTTCTTCTGTGGCGCCTTGCACGTATTTCTGGCAGCCAGGTTTGTAGGCGTGAGCCGTCTTGGTTGCTCCTCCACTCCCACAGTCATAGTATATGTCCTCCTCTCTCTTTTTCATTGTCTTTTCCTTCCCGCATTCCACTTTGTCTTGCCTCTTTACCACTCATGAACTTGGCGGGGAGGGTTGTTCTTCTCCGACTCCCGTTGTCGGTAGAGCTTGGTATGTCTTCTCCGGCCCCAACTGAGAGTGGTGCGCGGCGTAGGGCCATGGCTTTCTTTCGCGGCTTCTCTGAAACACATTCCCTCTTAATGCCCAAAGACAACATACTCAG